GAAGCAGAAAGGATCAAAGGCATAGGCAGTAGGAATTATAAATAATTTATAAATTATAATTATAATTTATAAATTATAATTTATAATTTATAATAATTGATAAATGAAGTTAAGGAGTTCAGGTGGGGGGAAGGGAAGCAGAAAGGATCAAAGGCATAGGCAGTAGGAAAAAAAGATGAGTGATAAGGGTAGAATTTCCGTAACATAGGAAAGTGGGTCCCTGTTTCAGGAGAAAACATTAGTAATACTTAGCCTATTGTTTTATTATTGGAATAACATATACTAGTATTTTTTTCACTTGTGTTTTTAATGTATCTTTAAATCACTGAAAGATACATTCTGATTTCTCATCCCTAGATTCTAGGGAATACTAGGATTCTAGTATTTTTTATGCTCCTTTTAATTCATAAGGAAATCTAAATTTAACATCTTCTTAGGTACATAGTTATAATTGAGGGCTGAAGATACAAGAAAACTAATATAGCTCTGGATAAAATATGAAATACTTTAATGAACATTTTTTTATGGAAGACCCCACAGCAACTAAAAAATACCATCCTTTTCAAAAAAGAAAGTCACTGTAGGAACAAGAAGAGTAGTAAAATCTAGTGGGATTACAAGAGCTGGGATTCCACTTGAATCAGATTCAGTGAAATAAATGTGTTCCATAGTGACTTCTTACCAGGGTAGGGGAGGGGGGTCCTCTCCAAATGCAGGTAAGGTGTTTAGTCCAACAGAGATGAGAAGCAGGGGAATTTAGCCTATTCCAACATAACCACTATACTTTAAATTAGACAGGAGTAAAGAGGGGAAGGTTTGCAGAAAAAAGGAGAAGCAGTAGCCTGAACATTCCAATAAAATCAAAAGAATGGAGTAGAGGAACAGTTCAATAAAAAATGGGGAAGGAATATGGTTAGACATAAGTAATAGTGTTTTCAAGATGGAGCAGTTCGGGGTGATGACAATGGCCTGGTCACAACTAAGGGACTGTGTGAAATCACTGAAGAATGTAACAATCATTGGAGACAAGGAACTAGAGAGATCAAAATACTGAGTGAACTGCCCATATAAACACTTAAGGATCAAGTGTTGAGTAGAAAAACCAAGAGTTAGCTGTTTTACGTTTTGAAGCCACTATAGCAGTAACAACCCTGTCCACTAAGTATGGGATAAGGGGAAAAAGTTTGTATTTGTGCTTAAACCATTGCACTGCTCTCATTATACTAATGGCTTTATGGCAGAAATCAAAGGAGACTTCAGCAACTCTGGAAGATGGATTGTAGAAATAAGATTCCTCTCAGTATTTAATATATTTGTAAACATAAAGAACTAGGACAGATGAAAGATTAAAAATGTAAGGGGGTCAGGGCCCTCCCTGGTGGCGCAGCGGGTTAAAGCACAGCACTGAGAATCTAAAGCCACTTCCACATGAGTTCGATTCCC